ACTCTGAGGATCCCGCTCTCGGCGAGCTACGTCGACGACGTCGCGTCCGTCGTCAAGGAGGGCGACGACGTCACGGTGCGCATCCTCAAGATCGACAGCGGCAAGAAGCAGCTGTCGCTCTCCATGAAGCCCGAGGGCGCCGAGGCGCCCCCGAAGAAGCGCGGCGGCGGCGGGCGCCAGAAGAAGGCGGGCGCCGAGGAGCTCCGCAAGTACCAGGACGCGGACCCCGCCGAGTTCATCTCCGGCACCGTGCGCACGGTCCTCGAGTGGGGCGCCTTCGTGAACATCGCCCCGGGCGTCGACGGCCTCGTGCACATCTCGCGCGTCTCCGACAGCCGCGTCGAGGACCTCCAGGCCGAGCTCTCCGTTGGCGACGAGGTCAAGGTGCGCATCATCGACGTCGACCTCGACAAGGCCACGCTGGGCCTCGCCATGAACACGTACCGCGACCCCACGGCGCCGCCGCGGCCGGGCCGCGACGACGCGGGCGGCGAGTCCGCCGCCGCGCGCCGCGCGCGGAACCCGGACGCCGCGGGCGGCGGCCAGCGCAAGCCGCGCCGCATGGACCCGGGAGACGATATCTGGGAGAACAAGGACTCCTTCAACTGGAAGGACGTGCTCGCGGAGGCCGACGTCGGCGACGCCGACGACATGTCGTCGGGCTTCTCCGTCGACCTCGAGACGGGCAAGCTCACGCTCCAATAGGCGCGGTGCGAGTGCTGCTTCGCTCCAACGAGAAAAACACGTCCCCCGAAGCGCCGGCGCCGGCCGGCGCGAGCCCCGATCGCGCGGCTCTTCCCCTCTCGGTAAATCCCGCACCGTGATTCTCTCTCTCTTTGGGCAGTCGGTGTGTGCTCGTCTGTTTCGGCGCGGCGCATGCGTCGGCGCGTGCGACGACGCCGTCCGACGCCGGCGACGACGCCGACAGCCACCGCGCCAGGCGCCGCGGCCGGCCGCTTGGGAGAGCAAAACCTGCTCTCCCGATGGCGACCGAACCACACTAACCTAGCCCACAAATGCGCTGGCTATGGACGCTCTTCCTCCCACGCGCATGGTCCCAGGAGAAGCGCGGCTGGACGCCGGCCTACGTCGACGCCATCTACGCCATGGAAGGCGCGCTCCGCCGGGCCAACGCCAGCGACTCACCGACGATCCAGCGCGGAGCCTGGCAGCACGACCGCGCCGTCGGCGAGCACTTTAGCAGCCGCGACGCCGCGAAGGCGGCCGGGCAGTGGCGCGCGCTGCGCGACGCCGCCGCGGCGCTGCGCTACCCCGCGCGCGCGTTCTCGGGCGCCGGCGTCGCGATCGTCGGCGGCGGCCTCCGGTACTACGGCGTCGCGGAGGTCAACGCGCGGCGCCTGCGCGACGTCGGCTGCACGTTGCCCATCGAGCTCTGGTGCCTGCGCGCCGAGCAGCCGACGCCCGCGCTGCGCGCGTGCCGCCTCGACCCGCTCGGAGTGACGGTGCGCGTCGCGGACCCCGTCGCGGCCGCGCTGGGCGGCGGGCCGGCGCGGCGCGACGCCTTCGCGAAGCGCATGCCCGCGACGAACAAGCGCTACGCGCTCAAGGCCATCGCGCTGGTCTTCTGCTCCTTCGAACAGGTCCTCGTGTTGGACGCGGACGAGCTCGCGGTCCGCGACCCGACGTTTTTACTACAAATT